CAAGAGAAGTAGTCCTTTTTATATAGAGGAGAATGTGGGTAGCTCAGGTAGCGTAGATGGTCGTTGGCTTGTTCGCTGAGCTGGGCTGCCCAGCTCAGCGAACAAGCCAACGACCAGAAGTAGTCCTCCGCACTTTCCATGGTACCATCTCACTCACTGTTGCAATGCACTATTCATAACCTACGCCGACGTCTATTGGCTAACTAAAACCCATATTGTATCGTTTTTCGGTCGGCGAGATGTGGTTGGCACTTGGTCCGGCTCTGGCTCAGCAAAGGAAAAAATCGTTCAGCTGTAGCACCCTTTCGGTGCCTAGCTGCCGTTACGACACGAAGGAGGCACGAGGGCTGGGATACTGCCAGGTCGCCCAAACCTAGACAGAGGAAGTCGAGAGACACAGAGGTCGGGTTCGAACCACGGACCTTCCAGTCAATAAAGTCACGGTCCAACTCGCCCCCTGAGCAAACGAACAAAGTCGGTGGGTGTGTGAATGTTTCAACGTTCATGATGACAACTGCAACCCCCAAACATCTCAGTAGATTGGCGGTGCAGCGTCACACGTAATTGACCTGGCTGCTCCAGTTTGCCCAGGCCTCGACAGGATTCAAGAGTTCCGGGGTAAAAAATGGATAGTGGATGAGAACTACGGTGTGAAAGCTCAGATATGGTTGCACGGATGAGGTGGACGTCGTGATGAGTGATCAGACATAAGCCCAGATCTCACAAGATCAGTTAGTAGTAAAAGAAAAAAGCCAGAGGCTTCGAAAAACGACCTGAAACAGAAGTCGAAATGAAAATTCGATGCTTCTCTTTTGATCGGTATGAGTCAACAACCCGCAACAATTTAGCGTGCCTTGATATGGAGGGTCACTTCACTGAAGTTTCATCCAAGTTACAAAGAAGTACTTGACAGTTTAAAGCTCTTTGGAGCTGGCTAACCTCGTGCATTTCTTGAGGACTGTACCGCGAGCACGAACTGGACTTTTGATGCATTAAATCAAGCATGAAAAAAGTACGGATCATGTTTTCCCCACGGAAATTCGCATCTCCGAAAGGGTCACCAGTCAATTCCTGGAAGCTTTTGTCTGATAGAAACTATGTTTCAGCTTAGTAAAAACACCACTGGAAAGTGGCGGTGCTCACTGAGCATGTTCACGCACTCGTGGAGGCGAAATTCCATAGGCGTAGCTCGATTGACAGCACAGTTGAGCGGTACTCACGTGCTCAAACCGCTGTGGATAGAAAGGCGGGAATCAGCAAACCAGTATCACGTGCCAGCGACATGGTTTTGAATGTGACCACGGTCACACTCGGTTGTGCCATCCTTATATGGCAACGGAATGTGAGCTCAAGAGAGTGGGGTGGATTGGAAAGGTTTGAGGTTTACGGCTAGTCCCAATCTACCGATTGCTTCTGGCCACGCAAAGGACTACAAGGGTATAAGTCGACATTGGTGATTCCCATGGGGTTCGTGCACGGAAGAGAAACCATGGTAAATTGTGTTCGTGTTGTGTGCTCAGAGGACATGCGTGATCCATGTCACTTCGATTCCTACGACTCGGTGGCAGTAACTGTCATTAAGGCATGACTCAGATTTCCAGGTGACCAATCAAATCACGCTACGGACCTACCAATCGCCTTAGAGCTATCAGGTACTGCATAGAAACTACATAAGCATAGGCAGAAGAGGCGGAAACTACCCACTTAATTCCGCAATGACGATGTTACCTCGACTGGTGATGAAACGTTTGCAATCCATATGCCAGGCTCGGTAAACAGACCAATAACCAACATTCAGGTTTTATCTTCTATCGTGGACCGTGTTTGGTGGTTGACAACTCGGAGTACCCCCTTGAGGGATTAGCTGGACCGACCGATTAGTATTTAGTCGTTTGATTATGCCTGCTGGAACAAGTGGCTCTATCATGGGTTCAATCGATCGTTACAACCAGGACAGTTACTGAGTCGTCGTTCGATGGGTCGGGCACACGAATCACATCGCTCAAGCGTGAACACGTTCGCCTGTTCAGACGTGAAAATCCAGGTGCATCCAAAGTGCGTTGGTCGAGCAGTGGTAATAACGCGCTCGCCTAGGATGTCAGATGTCCAGGGTTCAAATCCCGGCACGGCCATTGGATACGCACCGCTGATGAGCTCTAATAAGAGCGAAACTCGAGTCCAGTGCTTCCCTTTGGTGTGGACTCACCAGAATAAGTACGCCAGAACTAAGTACACCAGAACAGGAGGATGACGGTTCAAACGAAAATATGAACAAAATACTAGTCCCGAAAAACCCCCAACTGGAACTACATTTTCCATTAGATGCGGAGCTTGGACACCAGATCATAGACTACTCGTACGCTTCCACAGTAGTGTACACCGTCACACTAGTAGTTTTGTAACCGAAAGGGAGTCTGGTCTGAAAAACTAGCTACAGAGGCAAAAGGCTAACTGCTCGGCAAAACTGTTCACTCAGTAGCCAAGACGTTGGGTGTTCAAGGTCCATTATCCTCGCGCACAAGCGTTACCTCAGCTTATGTTTTGTGTACAAAGTAGAAAAGTTTTCGTACATTCCCAGGTACGCTAGTCCTCACCATTTCCACAGCCTTTCTATTCACCCATACGTCTCAATCTACACGGAAGCTGACGTGTACAGATCCTCCAACCAACTCACCGCAACTTCTTGTGGGATATACCTTGTTGCATCAAGAAGCGACGGTGGCTGTTCTAGGGTCTGGCGCCCAAGAGGTGGGCGTTCGGGAGCACCAAATACCGAATTTCCTGCCATAAACCTGACGCCACATCTCTTGCCTCGGTTACAGCGGACATCTTCGAAGGATACAGCTTTTCAGGCTCCACATAGGATCCTTGAACACACATGTTTAGCATGTGGGGCTTTCGATAACTAAGCTAGCATCTCGTTTCCCGGTAATGATATGATCTGAATCACAGTGTGCACCAGAAGGACTGACAATCAAGGATAGGGCCTCGCTCTTAATGACCAGCTTCGTGATCAGAATGACTACATGGCTGTCCGTGAGTATGAAGGACTCCAGGTACCGCTGCACCTAAACTCAGCACGATGGGTGTTCGGAAGAATGCGGTAAAGGACATTCACTACAGAGTCAAAGCTGCACCAATCACTGAATAGCACCTTCGATGAGCTGACATGACCTCCCGCTGGATGGTAGGGTGACCAGTTCATAAGCCTTTTGCGAATCAGAGGTATGATTGGTTAGTGCGCTTAAACAGAGAATGGATAGCGAGGGTTTTTATGGAAGTTGACAATGAGACAAAAGACACGGCTGTTTATAGACGTCCAGCAAAGTAGGAAAGCTCGTTACGCGAACTTAAAACCAGGTACATGCCGGAGCAACACGCCAAAGTCGATGGCTTTTAGGTAGGGAAGTTGCGGTAAACTCACATCCCGCATTCAAGATTCTGAGATGTAGTAAACATTCAGCGATTGACTTAAGAGCTCGTAAGGTAGAGGCTGCAAGGAATACAGAGAAATGAGATCTGAAAAAAAGACGTGAACCGACGAACTTGAGCGAGGGAGTACGCCTTCGATGTAACTGGGTTCTACAGCAGAATAATTACTGAAGACGGGTATGGAAGCTAGGGGATAAGTATGAGGCGTCAGCAGCAGTTTAATTTTGCCTGTCTGCTTTCCTTAAGGATGACACCACGCGACGGCTCAAGGGCATCACCATCATCATCATCGTAGGCATCAGAAAACAGCGAACTTGTTGTACAGCAATTCTAGCTGGTGGAGAAGGTAGCTACGCATTGGAGTCGGGAACCGAGATAAATGATGCGCAAATGCAGGGGGAGATCGGAAGGGGAGCCATGTATCGAGGGTAACAGCTTGGATACATGAGCGCCATTGAGGGCGCGACTGAGCCATGTCCGACAATGTCTCCAACCCTTAATGTGTTCCACCTCGGGGTCCCCATCAAGGAAGAAAGCAGTGACCAACGCAGCTGAGTTTTATACTTCGCTGCCAGGCCATTGTTTGACCGTTTCTGGCTCCCTTCCAACCTTCGCGTGGTTGTGCGTAAAGAACTTCTCGATAAAGTCTGTCGACTAGAACAAGACTCCTCAAAGGAGTCCTCAGCAAGAGCCTTTGGCTCAAAAGCCAAGCCGTGAGGCAGTGCTGGTTGACATAAGACCAATAAGGTAGTTCAACTTTCAGAGACATGTAGCAACATATGTTTGGACATTCAACCTGAAGGGTCAAGCGATTGTGTTGGTCAGGCCTGTAACCTAGTACGACACTATGAGTGTCGCGCAGACATCCACGCCCCCTTACGTCTCCAGCACAGTTGAACCATTATCAAAGCATGCAAACCGTCACTTTGCGGTATTTTTGCAGTTATGCAGCTTCCCATCTAAACGGCAACTGTTCTACACGAACAAGGAACCAATATACACGTCGGACAGTCTGCCCATCCCGACAAGAGTGATGCGAACCGAACTGCATTGCCCCAGACTGAAAGAAATCAATACCGGGCATTGTGCAACTATGCCACGCGGGTCAAGTGACCGAACGCAACCGATCCACACGGGGCTAGACATTAGATTAAGTACTGTAACGGTTGTCATTGTGCCAACTTACGTCGGAAGATTCCATTACACTGGATCGATGTCGACTGTTAGCCTGGTCCAGCTCCAGGGCCTGTATGGCATCAAAGTCGGAGAATTTGACGTGGACCACGTTGTTTTTTGTTCCGAGGCCGTTGTCTACCGTGGGCTAAGAGCAAATGGGATACGAGAAAAAAGACAGCAGTACGAACAGCGGCAACATAGTGATCTAAATTGTGTCCCTAAAACGGATTTTGAACAGCCTTTTAAAAAAAACGAAGGCTGAACGAGAAAAAGACGATACCACCAGGTTCGGTGAACTTTTCGATTAGATTCGCGTTTTGCAGCGTCTCCAGACGGATACGGTGGGAATCACGCAGTCCCCATCCTAGAAGTCGATTGACACCCTCTGCCAAGTGAGAAGTTGGCCACCAGCTCTGAATCAGGCACGAAAAAAAGCAACCTCTTCGGCAAACGATAGTTCAGCAAGTGTAATACATGGATGGCTTAAACTACGCAGCTTCTGGTGCTGGACACATTCTTCGATGGAACCAACCGAACTTCGTTACGGATTCGCCGAACTCGAACGGACAGATAAAATTCGATACGATGAAGACTGAGACACCACATTTTTGATGTCACTAGACAGCAAAAACGCAAAGAATCGATACGAATCGAGTTGAAACAAAATCGAACCGGAAATCCACAGCACTGTAATGAGAACAATTGAGAAAAATCTCGAACACAGGAATTCCGGACCCAAGAATCTTCCAGACGACATGTGATGAATGGTCAACAAATGGTCTGTCAACCAATCAGAAAGAGGCGAAGACAGAACCAACAAGTAACCGGCTGGAAATTCAACGAGGGTTAAATTGGCACCTAACTTGTCTGTTGATCTGGTTGATATGCGGCCCGACGGCCGAAACTGGGTCAACAGAAATCAGGCCACATATTCATGAAAAATAGCTCATAATGACGTCAAGGTCACTTGAAACAAGCCGGATAGTTGAAAAAGTTGGATAATTCGTATCCACAAGGGTCCGGGAAGGATAGGAAACTCGATCGGTCGACAAAAGTCCGGGAGATCGGGCTAGTAAAATGCTCGTTTAGCTTGCCGAATGTACGGAGCCCAAACCCCGACACGGTCCAGGAAATGTACTGTTGATGAGCTCCAAGAAGAGCAAAATTCAAGTGCAACATTTTCTCCAGGACAGGAAGAGGGCTACTCAACCGATGTTGAAATGAATTATGCAGCTAGCAATCAGGTTTGGAATACGCGGACGACATCATCACAGAAGAAGGCCTCAGTATCCTTCAACAAACTGATGACTGTTTATTAAGCGCCACCGGGACATTAGCAAACAGCGACAAAAGCGAGTTTCTTTGTAAAACGAATTTGGTGCACCTCTGGAAATAGTATACACCTTAATTAACCGTGAACGACCATATTCCCGAATGGCTAGATAAAAGACGAAGAAATTACCACATGTACACACAAAGTGTTGGGATAGCGTTCTTCCAATGCCGAAAAACGCTGTGGGTTAAAAGAGAGATCAGCCCACGCAAGAAACTTCGAGTGTTCCCGACTCCTGTCCACCTTGACCGATAGAAACGGAAGACTTTCGGATAATCGAAACATGGGGCGCGGTGGCTCAGTGGTTAGAACGCGAATTTACTGACCGGAAGGTCCGTGGTTCGAATCAGACCTCTGCCTCTCGACTTTCCCTGTCTAGGCTCGGGCGACCTGGCAGTATCCCAGCCCTCATGCCTCATTTGGGTGGCATAGCAGCTAGGCACCGAAAGGGTGTTACAGCTGGGCGGTTTTTTCTACACCGCCCAGAGGATTGATGAAAACCATTCGACCTCCCGTATCCTCACAAAAATACGCCGCGTCATATCCTAAGATAAAGAAATAGATCCGAAAACGCCGACCAAACCACTACATCACCCTCGGGGATTACACCACTTGAGTACTCAGTCAAAACCTCGGATCGTTACTGCCAGAACGGACTTGAAAAGCTTGGACCTATGGTATCCGCCATTAAGGTTGCAACAGGACACTTCGGCTCATTGAGATATTGAAACCGAATCACACTCCCGGCGCCAGAACAGGTGGAACACCAATTCCGTGGAGTGGAAAATGAAATCGAATGTGGAGACAACTACTCTCAAGTATTGTGAACTTTGATCACGAAAGTTTTAATTTTTCCACTCACCTGAAGAGGGTCGCCTCAGTATGACAAAGTCTGCCTCCAAGCTTAGCATACAAACAGACAGCCTAGACAGACACGTGCGAGAGCAAACAAGACAACAGACAGCGTAAAACTCCAGTATTTAGGTCACATTGGTCGATAACACGACACCCCTGTGATGAATAGGACAGCCGCTCATTAGATTACCTAATCAACCACTGGTCACATGCTAGTCGAACAAAATTGTGGCTTTGCGTGCTGAATATGCAGATGGGACCGTCTGAACTTGCGAGATCATAGCCGAACAAATCTGCTATTTTGCTGTCAATGGTGTCGACGTGTTCCGAACCGTGATCGAGGAGAATCCAGTAAGTGTTCCCATTTGTGAGCACAAATGAAGGGTATATATTTGGGATATCGGGCAGCGAATGTATGTTCCTTTGTTCATATATAACGTTTTGTGAGGGCCTAAACCGCGCATCCACTTTAGGTGAGATTAGGAAAGGCTTCTTGTGGCATCATCGGGACGGAAATTGACGGCGAATTCGAAGAGTCCCGTGTGAGGCTTCAATACGGATCAATGAAACGGCGATACATGACCTTATTCACTCAAGCATAAGATTCGACCATCATAAGCATGCCATCTTTCGTTTGTCTTCTGGAACTCTTCTAAACGAGTCTTCATAATCTGGAAGATGAGAGATTTTGACCTGACTCTAAATCATCAGGTTCTTGTTGGGTTCAACCGGAACAGCACAAACGAGAGATTCGGCCGGGTTCCAGGGGAGTCTCCAGCAAAACCGAATTGGTTTTCAAATGAGTATATTTCGCTGAAACCTGGGACTGTTTTTGTGCGGCTGTCAGCTGATGGATTCGACAGTTGATTAGGCAAACCAGTGGTTAACTCCGGATAATGCCTCGGCTCAGTTCCCGTTAAGACAAAAGAACCGCCACGCGTAGTAAACGCCCAAAATCAGGTCAAAAACACGTACAGCGCATGGTATTTCAAAAAGGAAAACATTCCGGAAATTCTGACGCCTTTTGGATGCAGTGTCGGCAACCAGCATGTGATGGATACGGAAACATGACTGGCTGTCGGCTCCACACTTTTGGCCAATCAGAGCTCGCCTTGGATGCTGGACCGGCAAGCGGCCCGACCTTCTGGCCAATCGTGTGCGGGTTAGGTCTCTTGGTCGCAGCAGCACCTAACTGCGAGCGGTAAAGTGGTTTTGGTGCGGAATTTTGCCCAACATCCATGTATACAGGTCGACTCAGTTTCTAGGGCTGGGCTTATCGCGTGAAACTGGTTGCGCGTTCCCGATCGACGTTTATCAGCATTTCCATGTCACTCATATGTGGCTTTGATAGACCAGATGTGAGGACCAACGTGCCACTGCAATTACTCGACTAACGAATGACAAAACCCAAGATAGCAGCTTCTAGGAAATCTTTCCGAAGGGAAGCCAATTCATCGGAGTGCAACGGCCTCAGGTTTCTCGGAGAAGATTTGAGAGCCAAGTGCGCCAAGCTCGGTGGACAGATCGATGGCCATGGTTTAACAACCAGGGTGGGTCGAGCATTTAAAATGATGACCCTGGACACAGAAACCCAAAACAGGCAGGTCAAGCAGCACATGAAATACCAAAGGACACTGGCTTTGTGGCAAAGGAGGTGAGTCCAATCGTTCTGCGAATTTATTCAGTCTTTTTACCTACAGACCCATATTAGAACTACATTCGATGTTAATACAGTCATTTTGGACTTTTTCATCTTTGTTCGGATTCTAAAAATTCCCAACTTAACTTAACAGATGCTTAAGGAATGTTGATTTCGATTTGTCAAAAAAATCCTATCAGAGTTTTTTCCTGGTTTACTTGCAGAGTTTGGTTGGGTGGATTTGTTTTTTTCTCTCTTCATATTCAAGACGGAATGGGACACATTGACAGCATAACGAAATGAGGACCAACAGGCTACTTTTTCATTTTCTTAGTGAGCAAAGTGACAATAAACATGTCGACCATGCATTCCTGATTGGTGGAGAATGGCGTGTACCAGCCAATATGGTCAGAGCTAGGGGGAGGGGCTGGGAGCTTGAGTTGCAGTAACAGCCGTTAAGCTGCCAGCCGGGCTGGGCAATCTGACGGTCAAGTGACAGTGGGTGTGGACGGAATTGCTTGCTTGAGTGGGATGGAAAGTTGGACTGGCTTGATCCGCGTAAAAATCACCAGGAAAAACGGGGAGATTTTTGGCAGTCGCCCCTGACACTTCAACAATCCGTGCATTTTTTCACAGCAGGCTTGTCGTTTGTTTCGTTCTTCCGGAAAATTCAGTGATGCGCGAAAAACACGGGGAGCAATCACATGGTGTGTTCAGTCGAGTGACCCTTGTTCGGAGATCTCTCTCCATGGGTGGCGACTGAAACCTGATTCGTGACGGATGTCACTGGTATCCTTTATGGTAATATTGGAAATATTATCTTTAAAAGTGCAGTGCAGCAAAGGTATGATATTCCAGTAACGGATAAGAGTAGTTGATCAGCGTTTATGTCTGACGGGATGAGATCTATGGTACGGACTCCATCACCCTCGTCATCAACACCGACGCTTCACTGCCGTAGTGTCATGGTCGTACATGGACTGGGATACTGTCGGGGCGCCCACACATAGACAGGAGGATGATTAGGGTCCTCAGTCAGACCCTAACCGGGGACATCCCCCAGTATAGCTCAACAGGTCGTTGACGTGCGCAAACCGTCAGACCACAGTAAGGACCAGTCTCTTCGTGACGGATGGCACGGAGTATCGAGAGGTGGCTACCAAAAGTGAATGAGGCGACTCAGTCATAAATTTCGGCATCACCATCATCAGCTACGTATCGACCGAAGGAAAATGAACAAATTCCATTGGAAAAAAGACCTGCTTTTTCGAGGGCTTTAGGGAGGGTAAGCCAGCGTCTTCGGAAGCCAGAAGGCACCCCTGGCCGGTCCTAGTTTGTTTCTTTAATGAAGCACTATAATGTAAAACAACTTCGTGTTGCAAACATCTGTTTCCCAAAGAGAGACATAAAAATTCCGCGGGTTCATGACCGGGCTGGTGATTCATTCACAACGTTTTCTCCGTGCACCTGCAGTTGCCTTTTTTAATCATATAAACGGTTCTTCCTCTCGGGAGAGGTGTATGGGCACCAAGACGATTCCTTTTTCAATTCACAACGTGGAAGAAACTCACGAGGTAGGTCGACAGCAGTGTGTATTCTCCCGAACCAGCAGTAAGAGGGACAAGTGGCCATTTTTCGGAAAGCTATCATGTGGAGAAGTAGATCAGCGGAGATGACAGCGTCGCACCATTTCATCGGAATGAACGGAGGCAGGAGACACGGGGGCGGGGATAATGCTAGGTTGCCCAAGCCTACACAGGAGACGTCGAGAAGCAGAGGTTGGGTTCGAACCACGGACCTTCCGGTCAGTATATTTGTGCTCTAATCACTTGGTCCACCGGAATGAACAGCTCCACATAACTCCAATTCAAGCTCTCCTGGAATATCAGTACCGCTTTTGTGTACGGGCTCAACCAAAATATGAGTAACAGGGAACAGATAATGGACTGACGAGATTCATGGTATGGTATATGAAGGTTGACATTAGCTCCCATTTGTAGATGGGGTTCATGAAACATGATTACCCAGAGAATGAGCGTGCCACGAGAGCGCTTAATGCGAGCAGCGCAGTGTCCGTACACGAGGTGACGATCAATGATGTGCTATTGATCGATCGATGTCTGAGTTCAGAAGTGGGGGGTCATCAAACTGAGTGCACCGGCGAACTGAACGTGCGCGTGTATGCACTAGAGTGGGGGTGTAATCAGCCCTAAAAAACGGCGTGCAACAGACCGAAAAGGAGGTACAGTACGAACAAGTGAACAACCGGAATTTCTCTATTTATTTGATTTGTAAGTTGGTAGTGAAAGTGGAATATCCTATCGGAATATACTACTCATAAGGTTGCTGAAAACTGCGTGACCGTTCGCGACTGGCTTAGCCTCCCTTTTTTAAGGGCAAACGAGTGTATTTTGTCACAATATCCTATCATTTTGGATTTTATGAATCTGAAATGAAAAAAATGGATAATTTGAGGAAAAGCCCGTGACGAATTGATCATAGGAAAGACAATCAGGGTTGCGTTTATGTGATATTCGTCTACAGCGAAGCAGCCAATTTCCAATGCAAGGTATCCAGGAATGACCACCTGCTTCGTTTAAGCCATTAGCTCACTGGCTTTCGTCTCCATGGTGATCCAAAATAGTTGACCACAGGAGGTCTCGCATCCCTATTGACTCTTTGTCTAGTAAACAAAGAAAACCGTTCAGCTGTAAAACCCTTTCGGTGTCTGGCTAACGTGTCATCCGAATGTAGCAGGAAGGCTGGGATACTGTCAGGTTGCTCAAGCCTAAACAGAGGTGCAGTCGAGATGCACAAATCGGGGGTGAGATGGCTTAAGTGGTTACAGCGCGAATTTGTTGACCGGAAGGTCCGTGGTTCGAACTCGACACCTGCCTCTCGGCTTTCCCTGTCTAGGCTTGGGCAACCTGGCAGTAGCCCAGCGCTCGTGCTTCCTTCAGGTCGTATGGCAGTTAGGCACCAAAAGGGTGCTACAGCTGAACGAACACTGCAGAGATCGGGTTCGAACCACGAACCTTCCGGTCAATAACTTCGTGCCTTGATTGAGCATGGCCTCGTTCATTCCTTTCCATTCACCCTCCATCCCATGTTTGTCATCAGCGTGACTGTGCGTTTCCAGTAGTATTCCAGCCAAATAAGCTCGGTACTGTTGCCCTGCTGAAACTAAAAAGTTGAAGAACAGAATCACGCCATTTGGATATACTTAATGCTGAGGGGACGCGAAGTAATGACCGAGCCCGTACAGTGGGATGTTCAGAGTCAGAGGAAACGGCAATTGATGCTCTGACAGACACACGATCCATCTGCGTCCACGACTGGCTTGCGGCTGGTGGTCCTGAAGTGGCTCGGCGTTTGCGCTAGTGCTACAAGTTCGTGCTGACCGGGAACAGATGACACATACACACACACACAAGTGAAGAGGTCGCTACCAATTATCCGTGCGCTGAGCATCGACTCCAAATCTACCCCCCCATTGAGCTTCTTCCGGACTTGGTCATTCAACTTGGACATTCATATCACCTGCCAGGGATACTACATGCCGATTGAGGCAGTCGCCAATCAGTCAGTCACTTCAATGAATCAGCTATAAACCGTGTACCACAGGCACGTTGGATTAGGCTACGACAGATAGCTACGAATGGATACGGCATAACAATCAATGCCTATCCACCTACGATTGCTTTCTTCACTATTCGGTCGTTTCTGAACAATATCCATCTTGTTCGCACTGTCCTACCTTGTAACCTGACTGACTGAAGCAAAATAATCGGGAAGGTTAATGCTTAAGGGCATTGATTGATATCACCTCACTGAAGCACCGATCCCCCTGCGATCGATCCGTTTCACAAGGACAGCAAAAACTGACAATCGACGAGATGTCACTATTTAACTTACTTTCATAAGCACAGTAACGAACTTGAATAGACGAGTGAACAGTCACGCAAACAAAAGGTCGATCCCAGAGTGGACAAACATTGCCTATCGAAATTTCTGTGCACAGACCGTTGACTGAGCGAACCGGATCGACAGCGTTTCATTAGTACCTAGCTCTCAGGAGTTCAGCTTGTGTGATATTACGCTGGAAACTTCGTTTGGATCAACTAAGTGACCCGCAGTGTCATGCATGAACCCTACACTAAAAATCTTTGCGACAAGGATTCAGACGGTTGCAGGACACCAGTCCGTATACAGTCCTCGGTTAGCATTGCGTCGAGGACAATTCGTTTTTTTTTCGATATAATTTCAACGATCATTTATATATATATAAAATATTTGTTATATATGCTATATTTAGGGTCAATTCGATGAGGGCCCCATGACGGGCGAAACAGGTCGTAGGCTGTCGACGGAATTTCAGCAACCTCATGAGTAGTGCATTACAAACACACGTGTACAGCGATATCTCGACTATCGTAGCGACTGAAACATGAGGCAGCATGGTGCAGCACATTCGGTAGCTTGAGTGCAGCATAGACGAGAGATTCAGCTGGGTTCCAGGTGAGTCGTTTCTCGCAAAACCAAATTAGTTGCCAAATGAGTGTATTTCGCTAATCTGTTAGGATTGTTAAGAAAACCTCAGGTGATATCAAACATGAGGCTCGGGTTGAATCCACTGTACGCAGGTATTGAGTTGAAAGCGAAAGGAAAAAGCAAAACACACTAATTTGCAGGCAAATTTGGCTATGGTAAGAGACCCATCCGGAACCCAGCTGAATCTCTCGTCTATGCTGCACCAGGCCGCCTCATGTTTTAGTTCGTCCGCTATTCGAGATAGCGCGAGACGTTGTATAGACGTAATAAAGCAACCTGTATAATGTACCGTGATGTCTCGAATATCGTACCACACGAAGCACGAGGGCGGCATGGTACGACACATTCAGTTGCTTAAGAACATCATAAAAGACAGATTGAGTCTCCCGCCAAGGCCAAATTCATATGCGAATGAGCGTATTTGTCGAAATGTGTCCGATTTGGGTTCAAGTGGAACACAAGGT